TACAATTTCATCGAAAGTAAATGAATAAGCATAATTAAAAATCATTGCATATTAGAAATAAAAGGAATATTAAGTGAAGAGGAAGAACTGAGTTGGCGTGAGCCATTGGCTTGGAATTAGGATAATATTGGAATTAAAGTTGTAGATGGTAGATTTTTCTGTAAATGAATAGTAAGTTTTTACCATCATCAAAAGTGAACCTATATAAATTTGGCAATTTGTAGAAAAAAGCTTAGGGGTACTGTGTAAGCGAAGGTACGGGGCTAATAGGCAAAATAAATGCATGATATGTCTCTGAAGATTACCTGAACAGATTACCTGATTTCGGACCATGTGAGTTCTACTAAATCGTCCTGACAACAAGGCCATGTTGCGATACCGACGTCATCCCACTTCTTACCATATAATTGTTCGCCAAGATTGGAGCCACGCAAGATTTCATCGCTAATCCTTGTGTTTGTTCGTATAAGTTTCCATCGAATGTAAATTATGTGGTACTCATGGATAGGTTAATAAGTCTAATAATGGAAGCTACACTCAGCTTTATTCCTTGTGTTATCTCTGGATGCTCCTTCAGAGATTGTATCAGGGCTTGAATAGCTTCTTTAACAGGAATGTTTGTGCATATAGACACAACATCAAAACTTACTAGCTTATCCTCTTCTGATAGTGTCTGCTAATAATACGAATTTTTAACTGATTTGGCCCCAAAATTGGCACAGTTCCTTAGTTTTATGTATAAAAATACGTAAGATTTTATGCATCACGCTTCCTTTAGTATTTACAATTATTCTTAGAGGGACACCATCCTTGTGAACATTAGGGAGACCGTAACCTTGGGGGCCCTTGCATCTCTCTAGATTGATTAATTCATTTTCCACTTCTCTATTTCACCATTACATATGCATAACTTAAGGGCATCCTTTAGCCCTGTCTTAAGTCTTCTATTGGACCTCTAAGTAAAGGCCTATACGTGTCACTGACATTTAAATGAACTAGCATTTTCTACGTAACTTGACTTAGCCATGACTACCACTAATCCACCTTTGTCGGCCTTCATTATGATTTGATTACTACCAAAGAGATATCTGGAAACTCTACTAATAGGACAAGCTTTCTTTGGCGGAATTATGTGGTCAAAATGAGGGATCACCTCCAGTTCAATACTATTCCTTACCTCTTCAGGTGATCTATCAGATAAGCTAATTAATTCAACAAGTATTTCCAGAGAATGCATTACCTCATTTGGAAGAGCAGAATTCCATCCTCCTTCCAATAAAAGTACCACACTATCATCGAAAGTTATGCTGGACAAATTGATAACCTTATACTTCCCCACTTTGCTACAATCATGATTAGTACGACTTACCTTAGGCGCAAAGTTTATCGACCTAAGTCTAATACCTAAATTCTTATCATGTATCCGACGAGTAGTTCTGTCAGTCGCCTCTCCTAACCCGTCAGCTATGTCGTGTAACTTTATGAAATCCACATTCTTCAATATTTCACAAAGGGATTGCCTTATACTAGTTTTGGTTCTAATTAGTTCGTGTAGCTTGTTAATGCTTTCCTTGAGCCTAGTCTTCTTACCCAGTTTTAACATGAGACTTTTACAGGAATGGGACCCAGCTCTGATGATGTCCATCATATGATGAACGAAAGCTCGGCCTGTTTTCACTTGAAACGAGGGAGGAGGCCTCGTGGACTGCATCAACCTGAACGTCGTATAAAAGCCAAACGGCTGCAGTACAACGGAGTTCATCCATCCTCTTCTGGTGAGATCGACCTACGAATCTCTACTTGACGCACTTTCATTCGAAGTAAAAGTCCCCCCAACAATGTTATCTCAGGAGTTTCATCGATACCCAGTTTCTCTTCGTATCTACGAAAATTACACACAACAACTATGCACACACACTGTTGACCTCTGTCTAGCCCAACTATACGTTTACCCTTTAATTTTCTATCCTACATCTCACAGATACGCCCCCTGGGTAAGCTATTTTGGCCAATTCCATGTATGTCTCCTCTTACTGCAGTCGCATTTTCTTAACTTCCCTTTCTTTCTCATGAGCCACGCGTTGGTAATATCTTTTCCCGTTGTTCGCTAGTTGTCCTGGGTCCAAACATATTCTTTTTGATGTCTTACTTGAATCTCCCAGTCTGCACAGGCAGTACGCAAAATTATCATTGGCTCGTCTATCTTCCAGTCTCCTGTTCATCAGGTTTCTTCGAAAGAGTATGCCCACAGCGTCCCAGATCTTGGTGATTTCCCCATATCAGGCTAATCTTTCAGTTGCATTTCAAGCAATTGTGTGGCCGGTAAACGCGATGTGTTCAGCTATCTCTGATATTTCATTCTCAATATTTCTGCATATTTTCTGGTGTTCTTTGATCCTTGTGTTGATTTTCATTCACATCTCTCCGATGTCGTTTTGTTCACAGTTTGCGCAGTTTGCTCAGTAAACTGCAGAGCACTCCAATTTGTTGAATTCTGAATGTTGCCTAAGCAAGCTGATGAAGAGGGTTATCCTTTCCTTCAGGATTGTACGAATGTTGCATTTCCCTATTATTGGCCGTAGCTTGTGGCACCTCCTTCGTCCGCTTGTAGGACTTTTTGATCGTTCTTCTCAATTTTCCATATATCTTGGTTATATTTTCCCTATGTGTTGTTTCTACACGAGCCAATATTGTTGGTATGATTTCCATTTCCAGCTCTCTTTTTGATTCTTCAGGCAGCTCCGCAAAGGTATTTATCACCTCCATTGAACTGAAGTGTAAACATTTTTGTCCCTTCTGGAGGATCTCTGCGTTTCCAGGACATACCGGACGGAAGATAGATTCACCACTTCGTACTCACTTCTGGTCTGGACTTTGTAACTCTTCAGCCGATAAGCATCTTCCCTTTCTACAGATGGTTGGAACTTGTGCTGCCTATAGATTCCATAATTATTCAGCTTCTTCTGGTGCCTTTGTTTGGTTAAGTTCCATGTCCTTTTCGCCACTTTGTCTGTCATCTTCACTAGTTTCATGAAATCCTCCGTGGTGATAACGTGATGTTGAGAATCGGGGAAGGAGAAAGGAGAGCAGAATGAAGGTCAGGAGCCATGAAACTGCATCCGGTGCCTTTGTTTGAGATTATTACGCTTCAATAAACCCATTGTTAGCGACACTATTAGGCGAAATTGGAGGAAACGAGAACACATTATTGTGTGTATAGGTAGATGGGCCACATGCTGTAGGGTTGAGAGAAAGAGATTCAGCGCTAGAAATTAGAACAAGGTGTAATGTCACAATAGTTGAACAGAAAATTGTTCAAGGAGATTGCCTTTACTTGTCACTTTGATAATATTTAACTCTGTTATCATGATACCGCTTTTCATTGACGATACCGACTAAGATGCCGGCGAAACGTTTTGGAATATTGGAAATCAATGATCCAATGCTGGAAATCACAACAACAGCGGTAAAGGACAAGGGAATAGGTGCGCTTCACAATATCTCTCTGACGCTCCGACCAAGTTGCGAAATACAGGTCGAACCAAGATTATAAACCTAAAGGAATCTGCGTCCAAACAGAAGAGTACATTAACTTAGTTTTCATAGCTACCATCTAATTCCCAAGCTCTCAAGTATTATGCGTTGTCTCCACGGTTCATCTCCTTAATTTAACCCGTACACACTTAGTAAACTTGGATCTTCTAGCTCTGAACGAATGCTGCCTCTCGAGTGGATTTTTATTCAATTTAACCATAATGCTGAATTTTTGTGGCGTTTGTGATTATCCGTCTCTCTAGTTCCGTGAACGCCTCCATAATCTTCCATTTCTTTGTATTTTCACCGTATGAGGCCCTTCCTTCTGTTGCATTCCAATAAATCTTGTGTCTAGTCTGTGCTTTGTGTTCCGCCATTTCCTGCAAATCCTTTTATATTCTTTGATTCGTATGCTAATTTTTCTCCCTGCTTCGTCAATATACTTCTGTTTGCAAAGCTGTATGATATAGCGTAAACTTCAAAGCAATACAATTTGTCTACCATCTCCTTTGCGTGGGTAACCTTGTGAAGTGTGTTGCTTTATCTGTCGTTGTCACCTGAATATTCCATTTTTTAAATATTGGTCATAGTTTATGCGTTGGTTCGCAGGAAGTTAGGCATGTTCAATTTTTTATGTATTTCTCTATCTTTATTTTTCCGTCATCCTTCTATCGGCCTTTCGTGGTCCGTATTCTTATTGGTACTACTTTTATTGTGCCTTCGGTGCTGAGGATGATCCCAGTCAATTTTTCTAATTCTTCCTTCCAGAATTCAACGTCCTTTAATCGTATTCTTTTGATGAGCATGCTCACTATTATTCCTATGTTCAGTGTGTAGTTATGACCAGACTGGTAATTGAGTATTGCTCCAGCATATGACTTATTTTTGATTACGTTTTTCTTGAGTGTCCATCCAGGAACAATTACCTCTCCTTTTTCTCCATTTCCCCCTTGAATTTGATTCCTTCATCAATGGCATTTGATGTTTCAAATAAACATTCAATTTTTCTCTTGCATGCGTCTAAATTGGGAATTATTCATCAAGTTGCCGCATGACCACACTTGATTGCAGCGATGACGTTTTAAAATTCTCTTCTAATTTGTTCACGTATTCATTTGCCAATATAGTTGAGATTTGGAATCCTCGCAATATATTTGCCTTAAATCATTACGTTTATGAAAGACTAATATGAGATGTATTCACCCAATTTCCTTTAAGTTGATGAAGGACCACAATGATTTGAGTAGAGCTGACGTTTCCATTAAATTTCACATACCCTTGCTTTCCCAAAAGTTGTTCTCCTCCAGGGTGGACTGCAGTTTCGACCTCGCATCGGTCTTATCAACACCCTCAGCAAGAGTCGAACTGCGACAGTGCAGGATGGGAGATTGAGACGTTAACCACTCGACCACATTGCCACGAGTGCCCTTGGGTCATAAGGCAAATGTGAATTTTCAAGAAACGCAAGGCCTTCTTCCATATCACATTCTTTGGTGTGATTTTCGATGAGGCAAACGTATATTTGCTATAACTATCGACTACTATACTTTATTTTTCGAATTAAGTATTGTATTCGTGACTAACCGTAAATCAGTAATATGAGATGTATTTACCTAATTTCATTTAAGGTGATGAAGGACTGGTAACATTCTTCTTCTACCAGT